AAACATTATACATCACATAAACAAATTGAAAGACAAAAATCACATGATTATATCAATTGATGCAGAAAAAGCATTCGACAAAATCCAACACCCATTTTTGATAAAAACTCAGCAAAGGGGGAATAGAGGGAGCATAACTTAACGTGTTAAAGGCCACATATGACAAATTTACAGCGAACATCACACTCAATGGGCAAAAGCTCAAAGCATGTCCCCTAAGAACGGAACAAGGCAGGGATGTCTGGTTTCACGACTTATTCAACACAGTCCTGGGATGCCTAGCCCTGAAGAGGAAATAAAAGGCATCCAAATGATATTGCACACAGAAAACCGTAAAGACTCCACCAAAATACTACTAGATTTGAAAAATGAATTTGGCAATGTAGCAGGATACAAAGTTAGTACCCCAAAATCAATGGCTTTTTTATACTCCAATAATGAATTCTCAGAAAGAGAAACTAAATAAATAATCCCATTTACCATTGCAATAAAAAATTAAGATACTTAGGAATAAACTTAAACAAGGAGGCAAAAGACCTATACTAGGAAAACTATCGGACATTTAAAATAAGAGATAGAGGAGGATATAAACAAGTGGAAGAATATACCATGTTCATAAATTGGTAGCATCAACATCAACATTAAAATGTCCATTCTACCCAAAGCAATCTACAGATTCAGTGTAATCCCTATTAAAATACCAATGAGATGTTTCTTAGAGATAGAAGAAATACTCCAAAATTTTATATGAAATAAAAAAGGACCCTGAATAGCTGCAGCAATCTTGAGAAAGAAAAATAAAGTTGGAGGAATCACAATACCAGATTTCAAGTTATAGTACAAAGCCACTGTAATCAAAACAATCTGGCACTGGCACAAGAACAGGCATATATTAATAGATCAATGGAACAGAACATAGAACACAGAAATTGACCCAAGCCATTATGCTCAATTAATATTTGGCAAAGGGGGCAAGAGCATACAATGGAGTCAAGAGAGTCTCTTCAATAAATGGTGTTGGGAAAATTAGACAGATACATGCAAAAAACTGAAACTAGATCACCAACTTACACTATACTAAGAATAAACTGAAAATGTATAAAAGACTTAAATGTAAGTTGTGAAACCATAAAAGTCTTAGGAGAAACGATAGACAGCAAAATCTCAGGCATCTCTATAGCAATATTTTTACAGATACATCCCTAAGGCAAAGGAAATGAAGGAGAAAATAAACAAATGGGACTCCATCAAAATAAAAAGCTTCTGCACAACAAAAGCAACCATCAACAAAAATACAAGAGAGCCCACTACATTGGAGGACATATTTGCCAATGATAGATCTGATAAAGGGTTAATGTCCAAATTATATTAGGAACTCATACAATTTAACAGAATGAAGTAAAACAATCCAATTAAAAAATGGGCAAAGGACCTAAATAGGCAGTTCTCCAAAGAGAACACAAAGATGGCCAAGAGACATGAAAAAATGCTCAAAGTTACTGATCATCAGAGAGATGCAAATTAAAACGACAATGAGGTACACCTCATACCTGTCAGAATGGCTACCTCAACAAATCAACAAATGATAAGTGCTGGTGAGGATGTGGGGGGAAAAGGGGAAACATGGTCTACTCCTGGGGCTGTGCAGGAGGCAGCTGGTCGATGTTTCTCTCTCATTGATGTTTCTAGCTCTCTATCCCTCTCCCTTCCTCTCTGTAAAAAATCATTAAAATATATATATTTTTAAAAAGCCCTGGTACATTTCTACCATGAAATACTATGCAGTTAAAAAGAAAAAATCTCGCCAAGACCGGTTTGGCTCAATGGATAGAGTGTTGGCTTGGGGACTGAAAGGTCCCGGGTTCGATTCTGGTCAAGGGCATGTACCTTGGTTGCGGGCATATCCCCAGTAGGGGGTGTGCAAGAGGTAGCTGATCGATGTCTATCTCTCATCGATGTTTCTAACTCTCTATCTCTCTCCCTTCCTCTCTGTAAAAAATCAATAAAATATATTTAAAAAAAGAAAAAGAAAAAATCTCTTACCCTTTGAGATAGCATGGAGGGACCTGGAGAGTATCATGCTAAGTGAAATAAGCCAGTAAGAGAAAGAGAAATATTACATGATGGCACTCATATGTGGAATCTAAGTAACAAAATAAACTGATGACCGGAGTGGATCCAGAGACATAGAAGCATGGAACAGAGTGCAGAATTCCCTAGGGAAGGCGGAGAAGGGTGGGTGGGTAGGAATAAATAAATTGAAGACCTTGTATGCATATATGCCTAACCCATGAGCACAGACAATAGGGTGGCGAAGGCCTGGGGTTGGGGCAGAGGATGGGGTGTGTGTGTGTGTGGACTGGAGGAGGTCAATGGGGGGAAAAACGGGACATATGTAATATTTTCAACAATAAAAATTATAAAAAATATTAAATTCCTGGGTAAAAATAAATAAAAATCTGTATTTTTTTGAATTTTAAGACTTGGAAATAAACATCCAGATCTCATTATTAGCCTTTCCACTTAATGGAGGTTCAGTGATAATTGCGTCTAGTTATTGTAGTCAACGGTATTATACCATTTTATTTGGAGCCTGATTTTGCATGTTTGGCTATCCTGACTCAGCCTTTTGGATTAAGGCCTTAGGAAGGAAGAGATCACATTGTTTCTTGCTCTGGTTTCCCCCTCTTTTTGCACCCATGTGCCAATGTTAACCAAACAGCTTCCCAAATCCATGACTGGTCCCTGGGATTCCTAAACCCACATAGGGAACTGCAGCAACCTGAAAGGCGGTGCCAGGATCAATCTTTGCCATTTAACTGGCAATGCTCACAATTAGGAATCTGCTTTATTTTTTGAACTTTTGTTTTCAGAGGGGAAGAGACAGAAACATCAATGATGAGAATGCATCATTGATCAGCTGCCTCCTGCATGCCCCCCTACCGGAGACCAAGCCCACAACGGGGACATGTGCCCTTGACCGGAACTGAACCCAGAACCCTTCAGTCTGCAGGCCGACCCTCTATCCACTGAGTGAAACTGCTAGGGTAGGAATCTGCTTTCTTATACACCAGTCATATCTTCCTGAAACGACATAACCTTGTATTTACCTTGACTTTGTTATCTCTTGGTTCACCCCAATGGCACATTTATAGACTCTTAGGATAAGGTCAATTATCCAAATGACTCATCCCATCTTTTCTTGGACCATTTCATATTTAGATGCAAGATATGTAGGTGTGGTTGGGAGGTGGGAAGCTAGAACTTACACTGAGTCTCTTTAACTTTATTCTCAAGGAGGGAGATCATCAGATTTGAGTGTACCCCTATAACTGTTTTTAAAAATACTAAGGTCTGGCCAGGTGGCTCAGTTGGTTGTAGCATCGTCCGTACATCAAAAGATTGTGTGTTTGATCCCCAGTTGGGAGGTGCATGTTTCTCTTTCATACCAATGTGTGTTTTTTCTTTATTTCTCTTCCTCTCCCTCTAGAAAAATCAATAAAGTTGGCCAGTGTGGCTCAGTGGTTGAGTGTTGACCTATGAATCAGGAAGTCATGGATCGAATCCCTGTCAGGGCCGAAATCTGGGTTGCTGGCTGGATCCCTAGTAGGGGGCATGCAGGAGGCAGCCAATCAATGATTCTCTGTCATCATTGGTGTTTCTATCTCTTTCCCTTCCTCTCTGAAATAAAAAAAATATTAAAAAAATCAATAAACACATATACCTGATGAGGATTTTAAAAATATTTAAAATTATGTAAGTAATGTACTACTATTGCCTTCGTTTAAAAATAAAAGATAGCTCCAGCTGGTTTGGCTCAGATAGGGTGCTGGCCTGTGGACTGAAGGGTCCCGGTTTCAATTCCAGTCAAGTGGCACTTACCTTGGTTTCAGGCTCAATGCCCAGCCCAGAAGGAAGGCAACCAATCCATATGTTTCTCTCACTTGTATGTTTCTCTCTCTCTGTCTCTTCCTCTCCCTCCTACCCCTTCTAAAAATCAATGGAAAAATATCCTTGGGTGAGGATTAACAAAATAAATGCATACATAAATAGGATAAGAACCTCCTCAAAATCCCTTTCACCACCTGCCTATTGCCTTCCTCTCTAGGGGTAACCATTATCATTTTGAGGACACCTTGCAAGTACCCTTTCTATACATTTTTTTTCATCTTCTGTATATACATACACACTCCTTCCTTCCTTCCTTCCTTCCTTCCTTCCTTCCTTCCTTCCTTCTTCCTTCCTTCCTTCCTTTTTCTTCTTCTTCTTCTTCTTCTTCTTCTTCTTCTTCTTCTTCTTCTTCTTTTTTTTTTTTTTTTTTTTTTTTTTTTTTTTTTTTTTTTTTTACATAAATGACACCTCTTCGCTTTGTAGGTGAGGAAACTAACTGGAACCTGGAGGGGAGCCATACTGACAAATTTACTGAAGGAAAGTGGACTGGACAATAGTTTATCAGAATCTACCATGTGTTAACTCCGCACCAAGTGCTTTATTGGCAGGAAGGGTTCTGGTATTTTACTTCCATTGGATGGGTCCCCGCACGAGGTCAGCTGTGCAATTAGTTTAGAGGTTGGGAAGCACTGCGGAAAAAGTCCCTTCAGTGCAATGATGTAGCATTTGTATTTTGATGGGAGCTACAGGAGGACTTAGCAGAAGGCAACGGAGCTGCAAAAAAAGGAGGGGGAAAAAATGTCATAGGCAGTTGGGTCTGTCCATAAGGCTTGTGAAACTGAAACGCGAAAAGCCTGCTACCTGCCAAGCCCGAAAATTCCTTCGGAAACCAGAAAACCAATACTGCGTCTAGAGAAGAATGGCCTTGGAGCTTGGAGAGCAAAGGCACCAGAGGCTGCAAAGAAGCCTGCGGCCGGCCGCCGCGAGCAACGGACCAGCCAACCTGGAGCAGAGACCACTGGTGGACGCGCCGGGCAGTGCGCCTGCGCCGACGCCGGCGGGGGCGGGGCCTGGGGGCGGGGCCTGGCGGCGGCCTCTGCGCCTGCGCAAACCGCGCGGCGCGGTGGGGGAGGGCGGCCCGTGTGTGTCTGTGTTGTTGTTCCGCGGCAGCGGCGGCGGCGGTAAGATGGCTGCCCACGGGGGCTCCGCGGCGTCCTCGGCGCTGAAGGGGTTAATCCAGCAGTTCACCGCCATCACCGGTAAGAGGCCGCGGCTACCGGAAGGTGGAAGAGTGGGGTCTGGCGCGGGCGGCATGTCCGCCCCGGGCTTCCCCCCCTCACCTTCTTGCTTTCCCCGCAGCTCCCGTCCTCCTCTCTCCTGAGGAGGAGGCGGCGGCGGCGGCGGCGGCGGCGGCGGGTCTCCGGGTTCAGGCGGCAGACTGCCTCCCCCTCCCCCCACGCAAACCCCCAAACCCCGGTTCTCGGTCTCCTTGTGGTGTGGAGGGAGGCTCCCCACCCCCTGTCAGCCCAGACCCGGAGGATGGGCCGAGCCCATCCGCCCCCCGCCGCCGGCCCAGGGACCTGGGGGGGAGGGGGCAGAGGTGGGGGGCCGCACCCGGGCCACCGCCCTCTTCCTTCTTCACCACCATCATCTCTTTTCTGTGCATCCTTGGGGTGCAGGGCATCATCCCCTTCTCTCCTTCCTTTCTCCCTCGGCCAGGTCATTCTCTCCCTCTCCCCGGCCTGCCCTTCCCTTGTCTGGGCCCCTCGGAGCCATGGCTGGTGGCCCTGGAGTGGCTGGGGCCTCCCGTCCTTAACGGCGGCGCCTTAACCGATCCCGCGGGATAGGCCGCCCGAAAGGGAGGGCTGCGGAGGAGCACCTTCCAGTGTGAGGTTTTAAGAGGAGAATGAGGGGACCCCACCCCCCGCCCCCAACTTAATAGGGTAGGCCTGGAGGAATCCTGGGTGACGTTCCCCACCTCCCCATAATAAAACCAAGGCTGAGTGAGACCATGGCGCCGGGGCCTCCTGCTGATAAAATAAGGATGGCGGCAGAAACTTCTTTGAGAGAAAAATCAGTTTCTGCATGTCAGTAATTCCCCACACTCTCGGTTTCTATTTTCCCTTGGACCCTGGCAAAGGCCGCACGCAGAACCTCTCACCGCCCGGAGGAAAGGCCCTAAAGCCATTCTGTGAATTCTCTGTGGCTTGTTTCTCTGTCTGATGGTGCTGAACTTTTTTTTGCATGAGTTATTAGAGGGCGGAGCAAATGATGAAGTTCTCTGTGGAGTGATTTGAGAGAAGTGTACTTCGTTGTGCCCTAGTATGATTTTGCCCGTTCTAAATTGTCATTTTGGAAAGAGGTCAGAATATTAGGTGTTTTTTTTTAGATCTCTCCTTTATCTGATAATTTCTTAGATGCAGAGAACGGAACGGGCTCCACTGTTAATGTAGGTAGTGTTTGAGGTGCAAGATCTGGTTAAATAAAATTTTACATTGTTTTAGCTACTGCAGGTTGTATGCAAGTTGCTGTTTTACAATTAAAACTAGTTTTATTTTTTTTGATTTGCAATTATAGCTAGATGTTTGATGCATTAGTCTGTAGGTATGAAACATCACGTCAAAATAGGTTAAGTAAAATTTGTAATTAAATTGGAATGAAGAGTGGAATAACTTTTCTTAATATTTAAAAACGTTTGTGATTAAAGAGGTAATGGGTTTCCCAATGGTTAAGCAGATCATTGTTATTGAGAAAATGATGAAATTATTGTGTACATAAGTTAATACATATTGTTGATTATGTTTATATAGAAAAATCTTTGTAGAGAATAAGGTATTGAAGATTATTAATCTTTTATTCAGGTTTTTTAGAGATGGTTTAATATGCTACCTGTTTAATTTTAGTTTTTATGCTATCCTACCACCCCTTAAGGAACTCAGATGGTTTTAACCTCATTATTTCTTCTAGTGCAACATTTTTGTTAGATATAGTCAAAACCTAGAGTGTGGTGAGATGCAGTGACTCACTTAAAGGCTTTAATTCCGTTTCTGTCTTTATCTACATGGCTTATTTCTTGGTCACAGGCTTTTCTATTTCTGAGTCAAGTTGGAGACCTTCAGTAGACTATGGTATCTGTAAGACTGCAAAAGGGAAAATACCTTAGGTTCTTAATGTATTATAAATTTCTATTAAGTTTTGGGGATTTTTAAACTTTTATTTTTTATAAATAGTGATGAACTATTAGAAACATGATTGACTTCATTAGTCTTTTTTCATGTATCTTAATAAAATTTGGGGTTCTGACCACATATATCACATCTATATTTAAATTGTAGTATTTATGGTAAAAGGATCCTATCTAATAAAAGAGTAACATGCAAATGCCTTTATCTCTGCTAAACCCACCAGCCACACCCACCAGCCAATCAGGAGTGAGTATGCAAATTAATCCAACCAAGATGGCTGCAGCCAGGGAGGGAGCAGGAGGCTTGGGTTTCCTCACAATGGAGGAAGCCAAGCTTTCTGCACACCCTGGCCTGCCATGGCCTCAGCTTAAGGCTACAAAGTTTCAATTATAGAAGATAAATCCCAGGTACCAGGGCCTCCTCTTGGGTTGCTGGGGGGCGTGGCCAGCCTGCCAACCACCAAAGGCCCCTCACCCAGGCCCCCCCATGCCTCAAGAGAACCCCAACCCTGATCCAGGACACCCTTCAGGGCAAACCAGCCAGTCCTCACCTGTGCACCAGGCCTCTATCCTATCTAATAAAAGCTTAATATGCAGATTGACCATCACTCTAACACACAAGATGGCTGCCCCCATGTGATCAAAGATCCTGTCCCCATGTGGACACAAGATGGCCACCACAGGATGGCCAGTAGGGGAGGGCCGTTGGGAGGGATCAGGCCAGCAAAGGAGGGCAGTTGTGGGCAATCAGGCCAGCTGGGGAGGGTAGTTGGGAGGGACCAGGCCTGCAAGGGATGGCAGTTGGGGGTGATTAAGCCTGCAGGGGAGGGCAATTAGGGGTGACCAGGCTGGCAGAGGAGGGAAGTTGGGGGTGACCAGGCCTGTAGGGAAGGGCAGTTAGGGGGGACCCAGGCCTGAAGGGGAGAGCAGTTGGGGTGACCAGGCCTGCAGGGGAGGGCAGTTAGGCCACACATATACAAAATACACGGATGTAATCAGAATAATTTTCCCCTTCCCCTTCACCTGAGGCTATATATTTTTAATAATAAAAGTGTAATATACTAATTAGACCAGACAGGTGAACAACCTTCTGGACGAAGCCAGGGCTGTGAGGGTTGAGTCCCTGCACGAATTTCTAGAACATATTATATAAATTGATTTTAGAGAGAGAGGAAATGAGAGGGAGGGAGGAAGGGAGGGGAAGAGAGAGAAAAACAGAAACACTGATGTGAGATTGGTTGCCTCCCATAAGCGCCCTGACCAGGGATCAAACTGGCAACCTGGGTAGGAGCCCTGACCAGGAATTGAACCCGAGACCTTTTGGCATATGGGATGATGCTCCAACCAGCTAAGCCACACTCGCCAGGGCAATCAGATTAATTCTTGAGATAAGCAATACACTATAAAATAGGTAAAAATTAATAGGTAATTAGAAGGTAGACAAAATGTGAGGGAAGAGAAAATACTCTGAGAAGACAAGTTTGTTACTTTAGAATGCTAAAGACTTGTGCATAGTAGACATGCACTTAAAGTATAGAACCTAAGTTGTAAAAGAGATCTTAGTTTAATGTTTCTCTAAAGTTTTGAATGAATTCATATTTGTTATAGAAATTAGGAGCTGTTGTGTGTGGTATTTGGGTTTGTGGCTAATTTCTATTCATAGTCTTTTCTACAATACATTTCTCTTGGGTATTAAAATGTGTTTTAAGTTCTCTTTCAGGAAAGGTGGTTGCAAGTATTCTAGAAGTCAAAAGAAAACTCTGGAATTTTAAGAACTATTTCAAAATGTGATAATGACGTTTGAACAGAAATTTTGGGATGAACTTTTTTTTTTTTTGAGTTGTGAATAGAATCTTACTAACAACTTAAGTATTTATTGATAGACTGCTGTGTGCCAGGCATTGTTCAGATCCAGGGAATAATGCCATGAGCAGTTCAGGGTGTATGTCCTCAAAAATCTTAAAGATTAACGGAAATACAGATACATACATCAGTGTTGTAATATGGTGGGGAAATGGTAAGATTCACAAAAGCGGGAGGTCAAGAAAGGCTTCCCAGAAGAAATAACTTCTTAGCTAAAACCTAGAGGAGAGCCCTGGGCCAGGTAGCTTACTTGGTCAGAGCATTGTCCCAGTACACCAAGGTTTGGGGTTCGATCCTTGGTTAGGGCACATACAGGAGTCAACCAATGAATACATGAATAAGTAGAACAACAAATCTCTCAAATTAATAAATAAAATTAAAAAAATAAATAAAACCTAGAGGAGAGATATTCCTAGCAGGAGGAACATAGTAAAAGCCTGGAAGAGATAGGGATAGACATATATACATACAGAAACAAGAAAGCAGAGCCCTGACTGGTTTGGCTCAGTGGATAGAGCGTCGGCCTGCGGACTGAAAGGTCCCAGGTTTGATTCTAGTCAAGGGCATTTACCTTGGTTGCAGGCACATCTTCAGTAGGAGGTGTACAGGAGGCAGCTGATCGATGACTCTCTCTCATTGATGTTTCTAACTCTCTATCCCTCTCCCTTCCTCTGTAAAAAATCAGTAAAACATATTAACAGAAAAGCAGAGACAATAGGTTTAGGGAATTGATAATTCCAAATGAGTAGAGCTTAGCTAGTGGGAGATGCAATAAATGGAGCTGAATAGATTAATTGGGTGCTAGATTAGGAGGGGCCTTGCAACCCATGTTAAGAAATCTTGAATTCTGAGTATAGTGGGAATCAACTAAATTTTTATTTTTTTCTTAATTGCAACATTTTTATTAAAACTAAGAAATACATATGTGGAGATTTACTTTATGAAGTATACACAAAATATAATATCCTCTTCCCCACCCCTAGGGATTGGAATCCTTATTTTACAAATCTGATATCTGACCTTCATTTAATAGTTTATAATCCATTAAGGGTGTTTTTTTTTTTTTTTAAATGAGATTAAATGCTCCATTTAAAAAAATTTTTGTTTTCTTTTTGGATTTTAACTTGAGGATATTTTTCCATTGATTTTTTAGAGTGGAAGGGAGGACAAGAGAGAGAAACATGGATGTGAGAGAGATACATGATTGTTTGC